GGTGCTGGAGTACTCTCTGTGTACCAGTATCCTGCACAGAAATAAAGCTGATAATATCAGGTGTATTGATCACCACCCAGCAGTTAAACTTTAGTACACTCCCGGTGCAATGTAGGGGATGGACGCAGCTCCAACCAACCTTAAGAGTCAAGTGTATAGGATGTCTGACTCCTAAGGTTGGTTTGAGCGACGTCCATCCCCTTCATTGCATTGGTATTGGTGGGACCGCTCTAGGACACTGCTCTGTCTTTCTCAATATGCTGGTGTGGTGATCTCCATTTGTTCCCAGCTTGGAGCGGCACCATAAAGGTTTCTGTACAGTCCGATTTCATCATGGAGACTAGGAAGCTTGTGAACAGATACGTGAAACCACTAAATACCAATGCATGGGAATCAAGTTTAATAGCACTGCCGCTGACCACCAATATAGGGGGCTTGATAGTACAACCACTGTACCTGGGGTTATTTTTGCTCCCACTGACACCAATGCTGGGGGTTATTTTTGCTCCCAATGACACCAATGTTGTGGAGTTTTTTTTTTTTTAACCTACTGTGGTGCGCACCTACATGTACACAAAAAGTGTATGTGAAAAACATACACAAAAAAGTGAATGTAAAGTGTTACTAAACCCAGGACCCTGCATTCATCATATCTGGTCTCCCACAGTACACAAAACAATGAAATGCAATTATTGTAGTAAATATAAACTGCTAAATACCTTTTCTCATCAGAAGTATATAGCAGTCTTGTGACTTTTATCAGTGTCCAGCACAGCACTAGTTAAAGCTTGTAGGAGGAGTTTTCATGTTGCTCTAGGAGGATGCAGAACCCCTGACCTATGTCTGGAAAATGCTGATTGGCCCTGTGCTGATCACATGCACTCTCCCAAGAAAGCACTGAGTTGCTGGTTAAAGCTTGTAGAAGGAGTTATCATTTTGTCCAATGACTGTCCAATGAAGCTGCATGACCCCTGACCCTCTGTCTAAACAGTGCTGATTGGCTCTGTGCTGATCACATTCCCAAAGAAAAAAAAACTGTCTAACAATACACACTAAACTGAGCATGTGCAGAGTGACTCCTAAAACTCTACTATCAGCAGATAGATTGGGGACAGTAGAAGGGAAGGATCAGAGAAGAGCAGATCAAATGGCCAGTTTACACAATGCAGAGGATTAACCCCTTAGGTTCCACAGTGAGTATAACAAGCATGCTTTACTGCATATACAGACTGGTTCTACTGTTGTGGGTTTAGTAACACTTTAAGGGTGTGTCTCTAGTCTAGTACAGACTTGTGTACAAAAATAAATTAAATAAATAAATAGTGCAGGTGCAGTGGCTAGGCTTTGCAGCCTGGTAGAAAAATTGTCCTGGACTTAGCTAAGAGGCCTAGGCCAAAGAGGCACTGTACAGAAAGAATTTAAAGTCAGGAAATGCAGAATATTGGGGTGCCATGAAGAGGCTCTGTAGCTTATGTATGTATTTGCAAATGTATGCTAATTAAGCCCCTGTTTTTATTGCATACTGTTAGACAGGACAATTTGGCTTGTTGGCAAGCTGGTCGATAAATTGAGCTGGGAATTTTTCTCTCTTTTTGTTTGACATGCGTCGCCCTTCCATGTGCTCTTTGCTGTGAAGGCCAGTTATAGACTGGGGCAGCGGCTATTTTTTGTACTGTTGATATGCTGGTGAGAGGGTCCACTGGACACTCTGGCTGCCATTGTGCTGTATGCTGGGTCTCCAGTGTACCCCTGTACCGTTTTTAACCGCCTCCCGCCCGCCCGCCATATATTACAATGACGAGCGCAAGGCGGTTTTTCTCGTTCTGGGAGGACGTCATATGACGTCCGCCCATTCTCACCGCTCATGCGCAGCTCTGGGAGCATGCAGCGCGGCGATCCACGGAAAGAGCCGACGATGTCGGCTCGGTCATGTGATCAGCTGTGTCCAATCGCAGCTGATCACATGTAAACAGGGAAATGCCAGTTATCGGCATTTCACTCCTCAAGAGCTGTTACGCTGACAGCTCAAGAGGAAAGGTGGTAATCGGCATCCCTCGGAGGGGACATCTACACTGATCATCAGTGCTCTGATCATCAGTGTGCCCTGATGATCAGTGTAGCCCCAGCAGTGCCACCTATCAGTGTCCATAAGTGCCATGTGTCAGTGCTCATCCATGCCACCTGCCAGTGCCCATCAGCACCACACTTCAGTGCCTAACACTTCACATCAATGCCACATTTCAGTGCCATCGGAGCTGCCTTTCAGTGCCACCTATCAGTGCTGCCTAACAGTGCCACCAATCAGTGCCGCCTATCAATGCCATGCATTGAGGAATAGAGTATTTGAACACCCTGCAATTTTGCAAGTTTCCCCACTTAGAAATCATGGAGGGGGCTGAAATTCACATTGTAGGTGCGTTCCCACTCTGAGAAACAGAATTAAAAAAAAAAATTCAGGAAATCACATTGTATGATTTGTAAAGAATTTATTTGTCTTGCACTGCTGAACATAAGTATTTGAACGCCTGAGAAAATCAATATTAATAAATCAGTGTTAATATTTGGTACAGAAGCCTTTGTTTGCAATTACAGAGGTCAAACGTTTCCTGTAGTTCTTGACCAGGTTTGCACACACTGCAACAGGGATTTTGGTCCACTCCTCCACATAGATCTCCTCTAGATCTGTCAGGTTTCAGGGCTGTCGCTGAGCAACACAGAGTTTCAGCTCCCTCCAAAGATGTTGAATTGGATTTAGGTCTAGAGACTGGCTAGGCCACTCCAGAACCTTGCTATGCTTCTTATGGAGCCACTCCTTGGTTATCCTGGCTGTGTGCTTCGGGTCGTTGTCATGTTGGAAGACCCAGCCACGACCCATCTTCAATGCTCTGACTGAGGGAAGGAGGTTGTTGCTCAAAATCTCACAATAAATAGCCCCATTCATCATCCTCTCCTTAATACAGTGCAGTCATCATGTCCCCTTTGCAGAAACGCACCCCCAAAGCATGATGTTACCACCCCCATGCTTCACAGTAGGGATGGTGTTCTTGGGATGCAACTCATCCTTCTTTTTCCTCCAAATACGACGAGTGAAGTTTAGTTCAAAAAGTTCTACTTTGATCTCATCTGACCACATGACTTTCTCCCATGCCTCCTCTGGATCATCCAGATGGTCATTGGCAAACTTCAGATGGCCCCATTCATCCTCTCCTTAATACAGTGCAGTCATCATGTCCCCTTCGCAGAAACGCACCCCCAAAGCATGATGTTATTACCCCCATGCTTCACAGTAGGGATGGTGTTCTTGGGATGCAACTCATCCTTCTTTTTCCTCCAAATACGAGTGAAGTTTAGACCAAAAAGTTCTATTTTGGTCTCATTTGACCACATGACTTTTTCTCCCATGCCTCCTCTGGATCATCCAGATGGTCATTGGCAAACTTCAGGTGGGTCTGGACATGTGATGACTTGAGCAGGGGAACCTTTCGTGCAATGAATGATTTGAAACCATGAGGGCGTAGTGTTCTACCAACTCTGACCTTTGAAACTGTGGCCCCAGCTCTCTTCATGTCATTGACCAGCTCCTCCCTTGTAGTTCTGGGCTGATTCCTCACCTTTCTTATCATCAGTGATACCCCGCGAGGTGAGATCTTGCATGGAGCCCCAGTCCGAGGGAGACTGACAGTCGTCTTTAGCCTCTTCCATTTTCTAACAATTGCTCCAATAGTTGATTTATTTTCACCAAGCTGCTTTGCAATTGCCCCGTAGCCCTTTCCAGCCTTTTGTCTCTGGTGTCTTTTGACAGCTCTTTGGTCTTGCCCATGGTAGTAGTTGGCGTCTGACCTACTGTGGGGTGGACAGGTGTCTTTAAAGAGCTCAGACAGGTGCTACTAAGTTAGATTAATGAGTGGAGTAGAGGTGGACTTTTTAAAGATACAGTAACAGGTCTTTGAGAGCCATAATTCTTGCTGTTTCTTAGGTGTTCAAATACTTCTGTTCAGCAGTGCAAGACAAATTCTTTAAAATCATACAATGTGACTTCCTGAATTTTTTTTTTTTTAAATTTTGTCTCTCAGAGTAGGAATGCAGCTACAATGTGAACTTCAGACCCCTCTATGATTTCTAAGTGGGAGAACTTGCAAAATCTCAGGGTGTTCAAATACTTCTGTTCCTCACTGTATATGAGTGATGCCTTTAAGTGATGCCTGTCAATGCCCATCAGTGCCACCTACCAGTGTCCATCAGTGCAGCCTCATTAGCGCACATCAGTGAAGGAGAAAAATCACTTACCGTATTTTCCGGCGTATAAGACGACTTTTTTAACCCCTGGAAATCTTCTACAAAGTCGGGGGTCGTCTTATACGCCGGGTGTTGTGCTGAAACCTTACCTGTACTTCCGAGCTGACGCTTCTGCGCATGTCTTCGGCAGCAGTAGACGATCGCTGATCACCATTCCTCGCAGAACTGCATGAGACGTCGGATGCAGCCGTTCAGTGCTCGATTGAGCTTGACTGAAACTGTGACATGTGCAGAAGCGTCTTCTTGCCGCTACCCGATGTGTATCCCTTCTCTGCATATCACAGTTTCAGTCAAGCTCAATCGAGCACTGAACGGCTGCATCCGACGTCTCATGCAGTTCTGTGAGGAATGGTGATCAGCGATCGTCTACTGCTGCCGAAGACATGTGCAGAAGCGTCAGCTAGGCAGTACCTTGCAGGAAATACGGTAATTAACATTAATTATTATATATTAATAACTGTGGCAGTTCTCAGATCATCTTGGAGACAGGGAGGGCTGGGCAGGCAGGGAGAGCTGACCCACCCAATCCAAGCAGGCTTTGTATGCAGTGTGCACAGAAAATATTGGTACATCGCTTGCCGTGATTGGTTGGTAGAGGGGGGTAGTCTTATACGGCGAGTATAGCCCAAAGCCTATATTTTAACAGGAAAAGTAGGGGGGTCGTCTTATACGCCCAGTCGTCTTATACGCCGGAAAATACGGTATTTACAAAATTTTATACAAAAACTAAGAAAAAACTTTTTTTTTTCAAAATTTTCAGTGGTTTTGGTTTAAGAAAAAATAAAAACCCAGAGGTGATTAACCTCCTTAGCAGTATTCCCGAGTGTAGCTCGGGGTAAAATTTGAGTACCAAGAGCGGTAACCCCGAGCTACACTCGGGCTTACCATGCAGCGTTGCATAGGGAGTCCCTGCAGCACTTACCTTGTCCTTCGCTCCCACGATGTGTCCCCTGCAGCGTCCCCGGCCATCTCCTCCGGCCGATGCCGGCATCCGGCTTCCGTGTTCCGGTCCCTGTGACGTCGGGACGTACGGGCGCCGGAACCGGTGGCAAATTTGAAATTTTTTAAAAATTTCTTTTTTTTTTAAAATGATTATTACATAGTAAAACATTGCTGTTTCAATGCATTTCACATACATTTTGTCCCTACTGCTTTGTCCTGTGCCCTGCCTGCATTTTGACTGTTCTTTCTACCTGGAAACTTAGAAAAGTCCATGGCGTCCAAAAACCGTCCCTTTACGTCAAAAGCGGTTTTAGACCAGCTAGAGAACAGCGATAGTAAATCAGAACCACTTGCAGAATTGAGTGATAATGATTCGTGGGGAAATTCGTCATCAGACACTGAAAACGATTTTGCGACTTTGCTCAGCAATGTGCAAATTTGCCTCTGTATTTCAAATTTCAGTGTTTTTGGTTTGATTATATTATTGAATTACATTTATTATTATATTATTATTTTTTATGATTATTTATTAAATTATGATTTTGTGTTTCAAATTTTAGCCTACCCGGGATGTTTACTAGACTCTTGTTCGGACAGATTTCAGTGAGTTATTCCTAAAAATTACAGCCTACAATAAAAAAACTACATATTTCCATGCAAAAAAAATGGTACCGCTTTCAGCACAAAAAAATCGGAAATAATCATACCGCCAAGGAGGTTAAATACCACCAAAATAAAGCTCTCTCACAAAAAAAATTATAAAAATTTAATATGGATACAGTGGTGCATGACCGCGCAATTGTCATTCAAAGTGTGACAGCACTGAAAGCTGGAAATTGGCCTGGGCAGGAAGGGGGTATATGTGCCTCGTAGGCTAGTGGTTAAAGAGAGGTGGGCTCCCTCAGGTTCACCTGTCCTCAGTCTATCCATTTATACGTGTGCTTCTAATTTGGAGGCTCTCAAAATTTAGAGTTCAGAAATGCAGAATATTGGGGTCCAGTGAAAAGGCACTGCAGCTTATGCATCTATTTGCAAATGTGTGCTAACAAAACCCATGTTTTTAATGCATACTGTTAGGACAATTTGGTTTGTTCTCAAGCTGGTCGGTAAGTTGAGCTGGGAATTTTTTTCTTTTATTGTTTGACACTGTGCAGAAAGAAGCTTAGGCGTCGTGGCCTTGTGCTTTTTCTCACAGTGGGTTTCCAGTGTTCAAGTGATACTACTAGCACCCCTGGCCTGACCACAGCGAGCACTGACACTGCTGCCCTCTGCCTTCCCGGCCCATGGCCAGACCAAGTAGCACCTCTCAAACCAGCAGGCAATGGGCCACTTGGAACCCTTCAAGACGAGAGTACTCCTGGCCCTCACCTTACATGTTGCACACTCATTCGGTTTCCTCGCCTGTCTAGAATGTTTTGGGTTATTTCTGCTACCACTGATACTAATGTTGGGGTTTTGTTTGCTTGCGCTGACACCAATGTGGGTTGTTTTTGCTCCCACTGATGCCAGTGTTGGGGGTTATTTTGGTCACTAACAGCAATGAAGGACTTTACTATTGAGGCAACTGACACTAATGTTGGGGATTTATTATTGTAGCCGTGTGTGTTTGTGTATAGTAGACATGTGCGTTCTATTTTGTTGTGCATGTATACAAATTTGTCGGATGTATACAAATCTCGTAATGGACATAGTAACATATGCTCACTGGCCACTTTATTAGGTACACCTTGCTAGTACCGGGTTGGACCACCTTTTGCCTTCAGAACTACCTTAATTCTTTGTGACATAGATTCAGCAAGGTGTTGGAAACATTCCTCAGAGATTTTGGTCCATATTGACATGAGTTACTGTTGCCTTGCTATCATCTTGATCCAGTCTGCCCATTCTCCTCTGACCTCTGACATTAACAAGGCATTTTCATCTACCCAACTGCAGCTCACTGGATATTTTCTATTTTTCAGACAATTCTCTGTAAACCCTAGAGATGGTTGTGGGTGAAAATCCCAGTAGATCAACAGTTTTTGAAATACTCAGACCAGCTTGTCTGGCACCAACAACCATGCCACATTCAAAGTCACTTATATCCCCATTCTGATGCTCAGTTTGAACTTCAGCAAGTTGTCTTCACCACGTCTAGATCCCTAAAGGCATTGAGTTGCTGCCATGTGACTGACTGATAAGCAATTTGTATTACAAAGCAATTAAACAGGTGTACCTAATAATGCGACCAGTGAGTGTCAACGAATCTGAAAAAACATTATAATGAAATTAATGAATGCATTTGTTTCATTCATTTCATTAGCAATTCAGGCCCATGTGGAAATGAATTACATTTTCAAAATTGGATTTAGATAAATAAAATGTATCTAAATTTTATTCCATTTTTTAATTTAGTTGCACATAATGCCAGTCAATATTGTGCAATCAGCTCATGCCATTTCTTTTGGTGGGTTGGACTAGCAACTGAAAATATTGAATTCATCTAATCTAATGATATATAGCAATATTCCGGTAAAACTGCAAAATTCTTTGAATCCACCTGGACCAACTAATATAGGAAACGAATCCTGCAAATGAATCCATTCAACATAATGAATATGATGAAATTAAATTCTTCAATGAACTAATGCATCCGCAATTAAATGAAAAAAAAATTCCGGCATGCACATGTCTAGTGTACAGCAAGCTGTATTTTTCATCTCAATCTCATATTTTCCTTTCTAATTATTTTCACATGTTGGCAACTATGCATTTAACTAGCATAGGCCAGTGTTATGAATACTTTTCATTACCTGGCCTCAGTTCTAGTTTTGGCAGAGCAGTCATTGTAGTACCATGTCTCAGCTATAGAAATGACACAGAGCCAGTTCAGAAATGCATCTGCTTGCACTCTTCCAGGTCTATCTCTGATCAGGAGTAAAACCTACTCAGGTCTCAGGTATAAAAAAAAGATTACAGGCTTCTGGGGCCTGAGGGCAATATAATGATGGTTACCAAGGTTTAAATGTACTGTCTTGGGGGGCAATTTCTAAAAACAGGAGAAAAAAAGGACAGCTGTTGCCAAGAATAACCACAGTCCTTATTTTTTTTAAATATGATATGAAATAGTCCTTATTTTTTATAGAATATGAAAGCTGGTTGATTAGCACCAGCATCAGCTTTCCCATCTTCATTATTAATTATCTGTTTTAGCATTATTCACTGTAAGCGGTTTTTTAAAAAGGTGCCACTTTGGAGCAGATGTTTCAAGCTGGTTGTACTGATTAAAACTGTGATACAAACATGGTCTAGTAGCAGTGACATAATTTAATTGTTCTACCTGGGAATCAAGAGACGTTACTAATTCTATTCATCTGGGCAGATCAATGAATGCTCATCCAGTTGTAATCATGGAATGAATACATGTAACAAAAGCAGCGATCATGATAGTTACACAAGTATAAAAACTAAATGAAAAAAATGTATGAAATGAAAAGCTTTGCCGTCCAACTGGATTAGTAAGTCACATCCTACTGTCTAACATTATGCTACTCATCATAAATGATTTTGAATAGTATTTTGTGTTATCCATAAAACAATGGTTAGTTAATGAGGATTGCTTTATTTTATTAGCGCAAGTATAATACATGCACACATTTCAATACACTGTATAAATACAAGCATTCAAATGTTTGTAATCAAGGAAATGTCTTTATGTTTTGAAAATACTGCCAAGCCATAACTAATGATGCACATGGTTATTACTGCTTAAAACTACTGATACTGATAATTTATTATTCATGCAAACACTGCAAAGACTCATTTTCACCAGCCAATTCTCCAATGTCCTAATGATGAACTCTTAAACTAAATATATAAACCCAACCACCATGTTAAAGTAATTCAAAAGTCTTTTTCATTATTTTAAATTAGCAGTTTTTATTAAACTAATACCTAGTGATCCTTCCATGAAGATCTATGTTCAGTCACTTCCTGGTAAATGATAACAACGTGCTGTCCCTGTGCATTAGAATGGTCCTTTGTGGTCATCATCAGAAAGGCAGCCATAAGAAATGCCATTCAGTTGTCCCTAGAATACATGCAAGTATATGGCTGCAGAAGATCAGTGGCACTGAGATGCAACAAAGGATGAAGAAAGCAGAGCTGAAGTTCATTTATCTTTTCTGCAGTTGCAACATGGCATTCAGAAAGGTCATTTTCAGGTTCAAGAATGGCCAAGAAATAAAAATTCTTAAAAAGAAAGTGTATAAATCTCATTTAAAAAAATAAAAGGTCATTCCATACTTTAGATTGCCAAAAAACTGATTTCATACAAAAGGTGTCCACTAATATCTAAGAGGGCAAACTGGGTATAAGATAGAAAAAGCAAAAGGAGATGTGCAACTGCCCAAAAGAATATTATTATTTACAGGATTTATATAGCGCCAACAGTTTGCGCAGTGCTTTACAATATAATGGGAGGCAATACAGCAACAATACAGTTCAATACAGAAGGAATAGGAGGGCCCTGCTCATGAAGCTTACAATATAAAGGGAGGGGGAGGTGGAATAAAAGGTAATAGCTGGGGGGGATGAACTGATGGAGAAGTTTTTTTGGAGAAGCTGGGGTAGACTTCTTTAAATGAATACATTTTCAAGAATAATCTAAAGGTGGACAGGGTAGGAGCTATTCAGACATACGGGGGTAGGGACTTCCAGAGGAGGGGAGAGGTTCTTCAGAAATCCTGGAGCCAAGCATGGGAGGAGGTAACAAGGGAGCTAGAGAGCAAGATGTCTTGAGAGGAGCAGAGAGGATGATTTTAGTAATACTTAAAGATGAGATTAGTGATGTAGCTGGGGGCAGTGTTGTGGATGTTTTTTTTTTGTATATTGTGGTTAGTATTCTGAATTTTATACATTTGACTAGTGGGAGCCAGTTAAGGAAAGCAGAGAAAGGCAGCAGCTGCGGATCAGTTAGTAGGGTGCATAAATCTAGCAGCAGCCTTCATGATATACTGAAGAGTGATAGCCTGTGTAAAGGTAGGCCAGTGAGGAGGGAGTTGCAGTAGTCATGGTGGAATGTAACAAGGACTGAATACGTTGTTTTGTGGTATTGTTAGTTACGAAGGGGCAAATTCTAGAAATGTTGCGGAGGTATAGTTGGCAAGATTTAGCCAGTAATTGGATGTGAAGCTTGAAGGAATTGTTAGAATTCAGGATCACACCTAGCACCCTGGCGAGTGTGATGGGATGAATAATTGTGCTATTGATCTCAATGGTAAAGTCATGAGGGAGGGATTGGGGAGAATAAAATATTACATGCAGTGTTTTAGAGAGATTGAGTATGAGGAAATCATGTGACATCCATACTGATGTGTCGCTCAGCATATCCATGATACATGAAGAGACTGAGGGGATGAGCTGGGGAGTAGAGAGATAGATCTGCATGTTGATGGCATAGAGCTGGTATTGAAAGCCATGGGAGGTTACCAACTGGCCAAGGGAAGAGGTATAGAGAGTTAATAGGAGGGTCCTGATGACAGTGCTTTGGTGTATCCCAACAGAAAGAGGAGATGGTTGTATGTAACACTAAAAGTGTGCTGAGATAGGAGAAACATGAAACAGCAGAGTTGTAGAGGCCAAAGAAGTGGAGTTTATTGAGGAGGAGTTGATGGTTGACTGTGTCAAAGGCAGCGAAAAAGTCTAAGAGTATGAGTATGGACATTGGTTTTAGCAGTTAGTAGGTCATTAGTGAGTTTTAGTAGGGCCGTTTCAGTGGAATGTTGTGGGTGGAAGCCAGAGAAAGCTGTTATCAGTGAGGTAGCAACTCATAAGGTTGTGGACATGGCGTTCAAGAAGTTTGAAGGCAAACAGGAGAAAGGAGATGGATGTTAAGTTGTTTAAACAGGTGGGGTCC